TTTCCTGCAAAAATATCTCTACAACAGCAATAGTAAACAAAGAACAGAAACTGCAACTTTGGGTGCAAAAAATTATCAGAACAAAATACAGTAAAATGTTATCAGAATATTTCAAGCAATCGATTACTTTTCGCAGATCCACTGCATAATTTAAAGCAAAGTATTTTTATTGGTTCAAAAAGCAGCAAAACGTAATGAAACGAACAGCTCTCCAAAACAGCCGCCCATACAATACAGCGATCAGGGAAACCGACTGCGATATCAAAGGGAGTAAGTTCGAATCGCGGAGAAAGTATGGATGTAGATTGTCTGTCTCCTCATAGGAGGTAACGGTGGCCGCCTATTACGTGCTTCCATAATAAAATGAGCCCCCTCTTCTGGCCTATAGTAGTGGAGAAAGCCGAAATGGTTAGTGCCCGCTATTTAAAAAAAAAAAAAAACTGAAAGCTTTCAGATTTTATATTATGTCCAAAAGGAGTGTTTTTTTAACGTTTTGTGTGTTACCTTTAAATATTATGTTCTTCGCACTTAAACAATAAAATTCAATTCAACAGCAATATTGCAAATACTTAAAAAGAGCATATCTTTAGAATTTCTGATACACATTCACGCGCTGGAGGTATTGTTTTTCTCCCCGTACAGTGTTCCCACTGTTTGCTTTGAAAAATGGTTGAGTTTGTGAATCAAAAATTCGTTAAAGCACAACAGATAAAACAAATTCCAAAGTTGGGATTCCAGGTGCCCGCCCATATTCAAATGGAGGACTACATTATTCAAAATTTGATGCCTGTAGGTATTATGCAAGTTGAGAGGCGAATCCTTCTTATGACAGGTGGTTTTTTTTTTTTTTTTAACTAAAATCATTATCTAAACCAGGGGTTCTCAACCGGTGGTACACGTGCCACCTGTGGTACGTAAGAGAAAAATAGGTGGTACGCAAAGAAGCAAAGTATTTTTAACTATTAAATTCAAAAATTAAAACCCCAACATCTTGGTTGAGTTTTTTTCTCTAACACTCGTAAATTTATGCGACCTGAGCTTTGTTCAAGAGTGGTGGTGGTGATAGTAGTACTTTGTAGTGGTGGTACTAAAGGTTTCAATTTTTGCTTAGATGCTACGCGTTAGTCAAAAGGTTGAACCGCTGCTCTAAACCAGAGATTCTTAAACTGTCGGTCGGGACCTGCAGCAGTGGGTCGCCAAAAATTTTAGAAGTTTTGATATTTCTTTAATTTATTATAATAATTTTACAATTAACAAATATTTTTACACAGTGTATCTGAAAATATATAAAAATAAGACAATACAGACAAAGGGGAAGAAAAAAACGTTTCGACGCATTCTTTTTATAACATAAACGTTCATTTTCAAGCTGCTAGGTTTGTTTTGGTTTGGTTTATTTAATTACGGCAAAGCACACTAGGGCTATCTGCCTAAGGAGAGGGATGCCTTCGTGGAGGACTTTTTAAGGGAAACTGGCTCGTATACACGTTACACATGGGGGAAAACCACGAAAACGCCCATGCTTGTTTTCTGAAAAATTTCGATTGATTCTACACAGTAGTTTTTGGTTGGTGTCCTTTGAAATATGGAAACTGAAAATCAGCATTTTCGGCATATTTTACTTTCAAAATGTTCAAAATGCTGTTCAAGCAAGAAAAAAATTATCCGATGTGTATGGAGAAGATGTATCGACAGAACGCCAGTGCCCAAACTGGTTTGCAAAATTTCGATCCGCCAATTTTGATCTTGAAGATGCACCACGTTCTGTGAGGCCAGTTGGAGCTGACGAAGCCGGAATAAAGGCATTAATTGATGCAAAGCGGCGAATAACAACTCCTGAGATTAATCCTGAAAATTAAATTTATCGAATTTGACCGTTCATGGTCATTTGAAATGCCTAGGTTTAATCTCAAAGCTCGACATATGGGTTCCTAATGTTCTTAAGCTCTCAATCAGCCCAGAACGTGCATCTTCAATATCAAAATTGAAGAACCAAAATTTTGCAAGCCAGTTTTGGCACTGGCATTCTCTCAATGCATCTTCTCCATACATATCGGATAATTTTTTTTCTTGTTTGACCACCATTTTTACCTTTCCGATAGTAAAAAGTAAAACATGCAGAAAATGCTGCTTTTCACTTTCCATATTTGAAAGGGCACCAACCAAAAACTACTGCGTAGAATTAATTGAACTTTTTCTCAAAACAAGTCTTGCTATATCAGCTGTCAAAATATATAATGATTATGCAGCTTAAGTGTGATGTTTGCTGTGAAAAAATATAACTAAACCCTCTGTTGGGAAAAAAAGAATTTACTTTCAGAGCAACCCAATAAAACTTGAAAGCTTTCAGATTTTATATTACGTTCTACGGGGCCTTTTTTAAAGTTCTGTCCGTTAGCTTTATTAAATATCACGTTCTTCGCACTTGAACCACGTAAAGTTCAATTCAACAGCAGTATCGCAAAATATTTTAAAACAGCATATCTTTAGAATTTGCGATACACAGTCTCGAGAGATGGAGATATATTTTCCCCTACAGTGTTGCTATTACTCGCTTTAAAATTGTTGAGTCTACGAATCAAAAATTCATTAAAGTTGTACAAAATATGAAATAGATAATAGAACAAATTCGAAATTTCGGCATTCATGTGCCCATGTTCGGGTGGAGGATAACGTTATTCAAAATTTGGTACCGTCACTTTTTCACAGTGAGAGAAACATACATACATTCATACAGATTCTTCATTATTTAATTTCTTTAAATATAACACAGGGCGATAATATTTAGTAGAAAAGTTATTCGTCGTTTAAAGTGAAACGACACAATATGCCGTTTTGAGACTAATAGCCCTTCTGAGCTAACACTCCTTTAGGCTAAAAAAAAGCTGTGTATTGATTCATGTACAGTATATGCATAATACATGTGTTTTCGTTGATGCGATACTGTATTCTATTCCATATTCTTGTGGACTTCCAATCAAAAATGAATAAAATTTATTGATGTGATTAACTGCCTACAGTTCTTCCTCGAACATTTTCTGTGAATGCTCATATCCCAGCGTGATCTTAGCAAAAATCATTTTCCAAGATTAGAATGTTAATCAGTGACATTTAAAAATCTCGTACATCTATAGTTACCCTACAAGCAGAATTCTGAAACTGACTCAGGAAGAACATGCATTTATAATTACATCCAAGATCGTGTCCTGATTGTGAAAAAGGTCAAAGTTTTTTTTAATGAAATGTTAACGAAAGCAGAAATTATTAATTTGTAAAAGAATTTTTTGGTGCTATCGCAACCTTAGTAGAAATCGGCAAATTTTCAGCATGTGTCAAAATCTGGCAACCATGAGCATAAACATTCTCAGACGTCCAAAAGCTTATCACAACCTTTCAGTCAAGCAACGTCGCAATTTGCGTATTCTTCTTTTTGCTGTATTACAACTTTTGACGGGTTTATAGATAAATAAGTTTTTTTATGGGGGGGGATACGTTGATGTTTGCTGACGGTTTAATCCTAGTATCCGCTGCACACGGGACTTGGCTACTTTTGGCGATTTTTATAATGAGCAATAAATACGGGACATACACGATGAGTAGTAGTAAATGGATCATTCAAAGAATATATATAGTTATACATAGTATATACTATGTATATAGTGATAGTATATGGTGTATAGTATATACATAGACGTTCTTTAGGTCATTTTTGGTGTTGGCGATAATTTTCAAAACCGCGCCAAGGCTGCACCGTATACTAGGATTTTAACCTCTGCGGACTTTTGGATTTACGATAAATACCGATAGTTTGGGAATGTTGTAAAAAAAAAACTTGAAGCTTTCAGATTTTACGTTACGCACAATGGCGCGTTCGTTTCGTGTGTTACCTTTATTTATTAAATATCATGCTCTTCTCACTTAAAACATAAAACTCAATTCAATAGAAATATCGCAAAATAATTTTAAAATGAGCATATCTTCACAATTTCCGATACACAGTGGCGCGCGCTGGAGACAAAAATGTTTCTTTTTCAGTACAGTGTTGTCATTTCCTTGTTTCGAAAACGTCGAGTTTGTAAATCAAAAATTCTTTAATGTCTTAAAAAATATGACATAGATAATAAAACAAATTTTAAATTAGAGTTTCCAGATGCCCATATTCGGTGGAAGATTACGTTATTCAAAATTTGATGGCTCTAGGTACCTTTGTTTTATTACACTGCCAGAAACATACATACATTTATGCAGATTCTTCATTATTTAATTTCTTTAAATATAATACACGGCTGTAATATTTGGTGACAACAGTTTGAAAAGTGAATCAACGCAAAATGCCAAAATTAAATTAATAGCCCTTCTGGGCTAACGCTTTTTGGGCTAAACAAAGAAGGGGGAAGTTGCGAAAATCGCCAACTTGCAGCCGATAAGTAATTTTTACCTTTTCATCTGTAAAAAACCGCCACACTGCGCCAAGGTGGTTTGTGTTATAGCTGTCGACAGTAAATGAAATTTTAAACCTGAAAGTTAAAGTACTAATTTTTACGAACATATAAAATCCCACAAGGAGTTTCTACGGAAGTTATTATCTAATGAAAAAATATACAAACCTGGAACAAGAATCTCAGCTATCCTAATATCTTGAGAACTGATATGCAGCAAAAGGCATGCTGTCTACTTTTGCATATTTTGAAAATTGGTGAAAATTTGAAATCTATTAGACAGGCTTCATGCTGTAGGTTTTCTAATCATTAAACTTAGTTTTGATAAAGTGATGACCATTTGCAGAAAATTTTTAAGAGTAGGGGGCGACTAAACACAAATAATTACGTTAATAATTTTTTGATTGGTAAAAATCCCAGTATACGGTACAGCTTTGATGCGATATCGAAAACTGTCGCCAACACCAAAATGACTCATTTACTGCACGTCATAAATACCGCGTTAATAATGTCGCCAAATCCCGTGTGTACCATATACTAGGATGAAAACTAAAAACATACTTTTTATTTGATTCCCAGCTTACTCATGTGCCCCAGCATCCTCATCCGCCCTTCGCGAATGCCCATGTCTCTGAATTCTTGTTTCTAAAATATAATTCAGCCTATAACGTAAAAGATGTAAATATTTGTCAAGTTATATACTAATCAAACATATACTAATCATCTCAAATATTTCACATATTCCAGAGAATAATTACTACAATTAAGAATTTAAAAAAAATCACATAATTTATTACTTAGATATTGTATCTTTATAAAAACAAGACTGGCATTTCATAATATGAAGAAAAATTTTTACCCTTATTAAAACTCACTTCCACCCAAAATAAAACTTGAAATTATAATTCTTCTAAATTAGTATGCCCTCATTTAAGACAATGTCGGATACAAAGCTTTAACCCCCGGGGGGGGGGAACACTCCTCATGTTAAGCTTTTTTAGAATTGTTTAGAACTTCGGTCCAGTTTTCCATAAACGCGATGAGAAATAAAATAGAATTCTATAAAATTTCAGACATCAGTTTTATGTATTCTTTAAAAAATTATGTATATATTCTTTTAAAACGTATATAGTTTCTAAATGTTCTATGTTCTTATATAATGTGTACACATAGCTATTGATGTCGAAATATGAAAAAGAATTTCCGAAAGGTTTTCGCCACTTCAGCGACGCCAAAAGAACTCCAAATCGATAGAAATTCACTTTATAATGCACGATTAAGTTTCTGAATTATTTGTAATATTATTTAGATGTAAAGTATATTAATGTTTACGCCTTTACTTATCCAAGTACTCTTCTTAAGACGATAAAAATAAAACTAACAGTGTGTTAATTAATAATAGAATTAACTATGGTGAGGATAAACTTAGCAATGTACCATATACTGCTGTAAAATAATAATAAATGCAAAAATTAATTATCTTTTAAATTTTCATAAAAAATTCTACAAGTACTACTGTAGATTAAGACCATTCAGATCAAATAAAATTTTAAAAGAAAAATTAAGCCGAAAATTATTAAACAAGGGGAATGAAATTTACACAATTTAAGAAATTAAGCTGAAAATCACTAAACAGAGGAAATTTTACCCAATTTAAATTTCACGAATTCAATAAATTTCATTTACTACACTAGAAAACATTTTTATTAATAAAGGTTTCTAAACTAAAAACCCTTTTCTTTTGCATTTTATATTAGTATTTGCTTCAAAATAAAAAAAGAACTGAATTTATACTTACGTCAATGAATTCATAATTAACCAGTCCTTGAAAGCAACAACTTCTGCTAATGGACAATGAATTATTTTCTTCACCAGTAAATAATTATGATGGCCACAGTTCTTCATATTGGAGAAAACCGATTGCCGTTGGACGAGTTCATCGAATTTTGGGCAACCATAATGACCTAAATCGATATGTGGTATTTTAAGTTCCTTGAAAATAACTTTTTCAAAATCACCGCCTTTAAAAGCGACGATATCAAATCCCGGTCGCTTACATCTGTCATAAATTGACTGAATTATAGCAAATCTATCTGCGTAATCATAAACTTCTTCTTCAGAAGACGGAAATACAGACATTCCAGTTATACGACGTGTTTGGTAATTTACGGTTTGAAGAACATCTTTGCTACTTAATTCTTGTTTGAAACAGCGAAGATCAAACCTGTAAGATGACGGCTGGAAATTTCCCGCTTCTGGATTAAATCGTACATACCCGATTTCTCGGATCAGAAATTCAGTTCTAAACTGTGTTCTATCATTAGTAAATTTGCACGAAAATCCGTCCATGTCCATAATACAACAAATTTTGTGCAGACACATTTTGCCTTTACTTGTTCCATCGATATCCATATCCTAGCTGATTGGTATTCGGCCCTAAAAAGGGCCTTTACCAATAATATTTATCATACCCTGATAAGGGCTCCAAATAAAGCATACATCTAAAGATGGTTTCTTGAGATTATGGCATAAGTGGCGCCATCCTTTGGCGGTTGTGGGAAAAATTTTTGCAATGGCAAAGTGAAAGGCATAAGTGAAAAAAAATGATGAATGGCTAAAGTTGGCATATTATTTGAATTGCATAATTAGAGACTATGCATAAATGAAGACGATTGTAAAGCAATAATGGCAGTTTGAATTTTATGGCATAAAGATGCGATCGGCGTGCGCTCTCTCTTGGAAGTTCGTGGCTGAATGATGTGATCCGTCCATGTCCATAATACAACAAATTTTGTGCAGGACACATTTTGCTATTTACTGTTCCTCGTATCCATATCATAGTGATTGGTATTCGGCCCTAAAAAGGGCCTTTACAATAAATCTTGATCATACCCTGATAAGGGCTCCACATAAAAGCATATCATCTAAAGATGGTTGTCTTGAGATTATGCCAATAAGTGGCGCATCTTCCTTTGCGGTGTGGGAAAAGGAAAAAAAAATTTTGAATGGCAAGTGAAAGGCATAAGTTGAAAAACAAAATGATGAATGGCATAAAGTTGGCTATATTGAATTGCATAATATAGGATACTAGGGCATAAATGAGACTGATTGTAAAGCATAAATGGCAGTTGGAATTTTAGGCATAAAAGATGCGATGCGGCGTGCGTGTTCTCTTGAAAGTTCGTGGACGAATGGAGTGATGGGCGGTCGACCTTTTTAAGAGTAGTAGCATTCGTTGCGATTGGTCAATTTGCACTTTGGAAACGGTTAATAATCTAACAGTAGAGTTATAGTTCATTGGTAAATAGGTAAATCTGATTAAATACGAGTTAATAATTGAAATAAATAAAATATATACAAAATGTAATTTACCAGTTCCATCGTGAAAATGTTCGCGGTCTTTGTGTTTTTGAATAAGAGTGTTATCATAGGTTGGGTTGTTGGATATTTTATTAGGAGAATATTGCAGGGGAGAAGAAGAAGGGCGGTGTTGAGAATTTCGCGTCTAAAGGCTTATATTTAGGTCTCTATGGTTGCCGAGTGCGTAATACCATGGTGCGTCTATTAAGATTCTAAGTAATTTGTTTTGCATTTTGCATGATTGACGTTATTTTAGAAGGGCTGCCCGGGAGGTGTGCGTAAAGAAGAATAGGGCGGATAGTTGTAAATAAATGATACGTTTTGTATTTAGATTTAATGTAGAATTCCCTTCCATTAATTGCGTATATGGCATGAATGCCTGATAGGCTTTGTTCGAATATTGATGATAGGTGCGGAAAGTTAGTCGATAATCGATTTTGTAAATCCTGGGTACTTGATTATATTAGTTCTTGGGATATTCTGTCCTTCAATTTGTATGTTTCCGATGTCTTTTTTAATTATTGTTCTTCTGAAGTAAATGAGTGCTACTTGTTCCAAAGAGAAAATTTACGATTTAACAAACGCATGCAACTTCAAATCGACAAGTAGTGGCAACTTCATTCAGTAGCATATAGTATCGCCATCTACATTTCTGTTACTAAACTAAAACTCTTTTGTTTATTTAATTACGAACAGTAAACTCCCTTGAATTTTTATGTAGGTATAAATTGTTACTTCCTACCACTTATTTGCAAGCACATTTATTTAAATTTATATTTTTAAGTATAGAACCCAAATTATTTTAATAATTAAAAATGTATACTTAATATGACTTGAGAATAAATGTATTTATAAATTAATTAGTACCGTATTTTGATTTCGAACTAAATTATTTTTATAATTACATTTACGTATGCATTAAAAATAATTAGTACCGTATTTGATTTCGAACTATTATTTTATACATTACGTATGCATTAAAAATAATTAGTACCGTATTTGATTTCGAACTAAATTATTTTTATAATTACATTTACGTATGCATTAAAAATAATTAGTACCGTATTTGATTTCGAACTAAATTATTTTTATAATTACATTTACGTATGCATTAAAAATAATTAGTAGCGAGTTTAATTGAAAACAAATGTATTGATAAATAACATGCAATAAAAACAATCTTATACATAACTAATAAATTATAAAAATCTGAAAGGTTTCATATTTTAACGATCGCCCAAAAAAAGTGTTTATTAAGGTTCTTTACGCTTTTGCTGAGCTCGCAGTCTACCAATCCGCTCTTGCACTCACTCCTCTTAAAGTAAGGTGGCCATACGTCCCGAATTTCCTCGGGACAGTCCTGAATTTTCAGTCCCTGTCCCGAGTTTTTACAACTCGTTTTTGCTCCCGAATTTACAACATTTGTCCTGAAATGTCCTGAAAAGCAGTAATGTGAGAATGTAAAAGTTTAAATGCATACAGTGGCTCACAAAAGTGTTCGTACGCTTACGAGTTTCAATGAAATATTGCTTCCTTCATTTATAAAAATTAAAATCTTAGAATGAAAATTTTTTAACATCTATTAACTTCTCTTAGCAAAACTACGTTACGTATTTTATGAATATATTAAAACTTTTTTTGGAAAATCAATAATAAAAAATTAATAGAAAAGTTACTTCATGAAAGTCTTCATACGCTCTAACATTTTAGTAAATATTGTAATATTTCTGTCAGTTAGTATTCTGTAGTATATCCTGTAGTACTTATGAAAGCTTTCAAACGTCTGGCCATAGAGTTCACCATTTTTTTTAAATACCTGTATCAATGTTTCTCGATTATTCCATTATTATTGCGGTCTGATTTTTGTTTTAATGTTCTGTTTTCGTACTTTAATTCTTTCTAGATGTGTTCTTTCGGCTTTAAATCTGCTGATTGAGGTAGTGTTTTCAGAAATTGTGGGCAGTTTTAGACACCCAAAAGGCGAACGTTGACGGCCATGTGCTTAGAAACGTCATCCTGATAAAAAAAAAAAAAAAAAAATTAAGTAGTTTCCGTTTCCGATATCCAAATTTTGGGCGAATAATTTAAAATTATCTTTTAAAATATTTAAATAAGCAGCAATGTTTACTGTGCCATCAATAAATACTAAATTATTTAATCTTGATGTTGACATGCATCTTCTTCACACAAGAACACCTCAACCGCCATGCTTTACTGTACCAACTAAGGTCTTGGGATTAAGCTCATTTTATTTTCCTCCATACAATTAATTATACGCCCCTCGGAATCAAAAATGCTAAATTTGTTTTCGTCTTCAAATAAGACATGATTCTAATATTTTCCGGGCTTATATATCATTGATTTTGTAAAGAAAAACCTAAGCCTGCTATTTTTTATACTTCCAAATAGTTTTCTTCGCGCAGAGCGCCCATGTAGTCCAGCTGATATGAGTACTCGTTGAACAGTTTTAAGTGAAACTGAAGTAAAAAAAATTCAGTAAATTCTCTAGAAATCTTTACGACACTCAAAAGTGGATTTTTCACAGATTGTCTAACTATAAATCTATCTAATCTGATCACGTTGATTCCCGTCGAATCCTCTTTGCCGCACAACCTCTTCTTACTTTAATTTGCATCCGATTTTCTTTTTTAAAGCATTTTTATCATATACTGCACAGCAGAATGGCATAAATTTACTAATTTAGCGATATCCCAAATCGAATTTCCAGCCCTTATGATAAAAAATGATAGATTTTCGAATGCTGCTCGTTGTTTTCTTACGACTACGCGTGATTTTTAAACATCAAATAAAATACAACGAAGTAAGCAAGCAAAAAATAAAGCCAAAGTTACTTTTTAAACGTGTCAAAATTCGAAAATAAAGAAGTGGTAGACGGTAATTTTATTTATGAAATTTTACGAAAATATTTCCGTGTACAATCACTTTTGTGGCGTATTTTATCTATGTCTTCTTACATTTTCAATTTTCGAAAAAGAAAATAAGTCAGTATTAAAAATTTAAAAAAATAGTTTTATTCAAAATTACATGGCGATGATATGAAAAGTATCGGGTTTTATACTGGAACTCAATTACGGGTTACAGCGCTTTTTCTGCAAATTCATAAGGTATGCGAACACTTGTGCGAGACACTGCATATTTGTTTTAAGTAGGGTAGATTGCAAACTGAGATTGCAAGCGTAGGTTAAGAGACTCGCGCCATATGCGCCGCATGAACAGGAACTCCATTTAGCATTTACTTTAGAAAAATTTGCAGTGGGGGAATTCTATTTCTCATTCCTGTATTTCTTTCCCCAACGTACATGAAATTTTTACTCAAAGCTGCTGTTCAGACTTTCACTTACAGACAGCACTGCAATTTTTAATTGATATGTTAATTCGAATGTGATTTGTATTTATAATACATACATATATTTTTTAATTATCAGCGGTGTATTTCATATGTGTGTTACGTATGTTACAGACTAACATACAGACTAACCTACAGACTAACATACGTATGCCCCTACAGACACGGCGTCTAAAAATAATTCTTTTGTCATTGCTCAAATTTCATTGTAGATATATTCATTAAAAATCATCTTTCTTTTGTCACCTTTAGATCGTAAAATTTTTACTCCATCGTAATTTTGATTTCGCATAAGGGTTAAACAAATTTTAAAAAATTGCCGCAACTATGACGTATCATGACGTTTCCCGTTTGGCAACGATATATATTTTTTAATTATCAACAGTGCATTGCATACGTGCTAAGGGTGTGTTTTACTGCAGTTTAATTTTATTTATTTTTTATCACTGATTATTTTAGTAATGGGTTCAAAATTACCGAAAAATGCAGAAAAGAAAATCGAAAACTTACAGAACATTACGAAAACCTTTATTGAAAAAACTATAAGCGATTCCGATGTACGGTGGAATATATGTTCTTTCAAATTTTCAATAAGCCATGGTGGAAGTACAGATATCAAACTTCATATAAATAATAATAAACATAAAATGTTAATCTCTGCTGCTGCTGCATCTAGCTAATTATTGAGGACTTTCTTCAAACAGGAGAAAATGGGTGATAAGGAAGAGGAATTAGCTGCTGTAGAAAGTATTTTTGCATACAATACTATTTGCCATAAC